GAGGAGGAGGAGGAGGAGGTGGTCGTGTTATTGAACGGCCCGGGAAGTTGCGCTGCAGGGGTGGGACTTTGTTTCTGCAGTCGCTCGGTCGCGGCTGGTCGTGGACTCACACAGAAATGCCTCTCACAGCATCTTTGCACACTCCAGCACAGAGCAGCAGCAGCAGCAGGAGAAACAGAGCTCGCTCCTCCTCCTCCTCCTCCTTCACCTCCTCCTCTTCTTTCTTCACTCCTTATCTTCAATCCTCCCTCTGAACCGCCTGGATGCGCTGAAACCGGAGCAGTGTGAAGGCTTTTTCTTCTCCCCCCTCTCCTCCTTTACCTTCTCCTCCTTCACCTCCTTTCTCCTCTCCCGGGATACAGACTGGAGCAGCGCCGCTGTCATTGGATGGAGAGAGGCGTCTAAAGAAGGGAGAGTGGTGGAGTTGCTCTACCTCCTCCTTCTCCTCCACCTCCGTCCTTCTTGCTCCCTACTGCACCAAAAGAAAACTCCGGGTAAGAATGCAGTGCTTCCTCACTCACTCCCTCACTCCCTCACTTGCTCACCCCCTCACTCCCTCACTCAGGCTATTTGGCTCCAGCATCGAACACCTGCCACAGCCGCCGGACTCCTGCACGCTTCCGATTACTAACATGCATCATGGCAAGACTTGGCGGATACATGTGTATGCCCTCTCTCCCCCCTCCCTCCCCCCTCGCTCCCTCCTCTCATCCTTTTCTGCCTCTTTGTTGACACTAGGATTAATTTAAAGCGTGTGAGACTCCGGCTGTGCTCGTGAATGGAACTCACTGTTTATTCACATCCCAAAATGTTTAATTCCCGTCGCTGGGGTTCGCAGTTCTCAGTGTGACACCGGGGTTAGAACTGGGTCAGTGCCAGTCCAGCCTCACTCTGGTCAAGTCCAGCGCTAACACTGTGACCTGGACACACGGCGGGAACATGAGTTCATGAATAAATCTGTATGGTTTTAGGAGCTTCTCAAACTCAAGGGGTTTGATTTGAAAAAAAAAAAAGTTCAGAAGGCAGTAGTCGAACAGATGTTGGTGTTCTGTGCTTGTAAACTCAAAGCATGTAGCTTTCCAACCTCCCCTTCGGGTGGTGCTATTATCACAGCAGGCACTATCATTGGTTTGAATCGATTTGAGGTCAAATAAAAAAATAAATAAAATGGACCTTAATGTAGATTAAAACCTGTTGCAGGGCTTTGGAATTGATGCAGGTTTTTATTAAAGTAACCATATTTTGATATGTTAAAATTAGACACCTCATAAAACTTTTTGACTTACCCTCCGATTAATTCTATACCTCATCAAAAACACCTCGTCCAATAGCAGATTGTTCAACGCCATGATTTACTGGTATGAAGTTCACTTTCCGCACAGACCAAAGTCAGACCAAAACTTTTGACCGTGTTTCAAACGTCTGTTTGCATGAGTTTCCGTAGATCAGTTAGTGATTCTGAGCGATCTCTACTGGTAGTGACCACAGAAGGATCCAGAGAGATGTCTGTCAGTTTACTGTGGCTCACAGTTGGCAGTTTGAAGTCGTTGAACACTTAGTAAAAGAAGAGAAGAAGAAGAAGAAGAAGAAAAAGCCCGTGTGTTAAAGAGACACAAGACAATTTACGCTGGCTTCAGTTTTGATAACATGCTATCAGATTCTGATTCTGTCTGGCAGCTTCGTGTGTGTGTGTGTGTGTGTGTGTTGCAGGGTTCCTCGTCTCTTCACCAGGCTAATATATGGCCTGCTCAGGATTCAATTCCTCCTCCAGCACTTACAATCATCTCAGCCATTCGTTTAACACCTACTCTCTTCCTCACTCTGTCAAGGCACGGACCTCCCCCCCCCTCCAGCCCTCTCTCTCTCTCTCTCTCTCACACACACACACATATGCAAACACACATTTTTCAACTCATATCACGCCACCTCCTGCAAATCCGTCTGAGGATAGCGTTATTGCATTAGGAAATCTGAGACCCTGCTGCCATTTTCTGAATCCTTGGTACATCAGGACTCTTTCTCTTTGATGCATCACAGAAAATGTTTCCAGAGTCGACTGTAGAGCACAGAGTCAGAGATGTTTTCTGTAAATGTAGCTGAAGCAGATTCCTGGATTCACAGCGGGCTCTCTATATACAGTAGCTTGTGAAAACACCTAAAAAGTAGTAAGAAATATTTAGGTGTTGTCATTAGGTGTGAGTTTTCTAATTAAATTCCATCCTAACATTTCCTGTGCTGCAATTGTTCACCCAAAGTGAGTATTTAAATATCATTAAGATCAGTTTCAGTCTTTCATGTTGTTGCAACGTTAAACTAACATTTGACTGGCCTTTGTCGCCATTTGTTTATGGAATTTTTTTTTTCTCGTTGTCTTGGACTCAATCACATATGAATGCTTGCGAAGCCTAGGTGGAGCTAATGGGCAAATTATTTTCTGCATTTGAAAGTCTTATGTTAAAGCATGTTTGAAATCAAATCAAAAACGTCTGATAGATTGAGGTCTGTTTCTACTCATGCTCTTCGTTTGGGTATGTGTGAGGTAAAAGCAATAGCAGAATAAATGCATTGTACGTATCTACGGTAAGTGACTTTTTGCAGCGACAGCATATTAGTGTTCCATCTCCGTGGTGTGGATTTTCAGCAGCCACTGACAGTTTCATCCAAAAACGGTACTGTAATATCCATTCAGTGCGGTGCCAGCTGGAAGGCCAGTGTTGTTAGCTGATTAAATCCCATCTGTCCTATCAGAGAAGTGAGCACTGCATTACTGCATGACTCAATTAGTGTCTCTGACTTATTCCTTAAATTACTTTGAACATATTGTAGCATGAGGAGTGCAGAGGTTTCTGTACTGGCTGTGAGTGCTGCACTGCCGGCACAGGAACAGGAACAGGAACTGATTCCCTCATCACACATCACAGACATTTTCAAATGACTATATATGCTAAGCTAACAATCCCAAGACTTATGATAACCTGCAATTCGAGTCAAATCACGCACTTTTCTGTCCCCATTGGCACTTAATGCACACAGGGTGTCAATAAATACTTCACTACACAAGTACTGTATAAATATGTGTGTAAAAATGGAAGATGAATATGATGTACAGTCCAGATAATTTTTGGCAGTACTGGTGCAAATTGAAGTCATTCAAGTAACGAGTGGAATGAGTAATTCAAGTATTTCAGAGCAGGCCGTGTGTAGAGCTGAGGCAATTAGCTGAACAACACTGCTTCGCTTTATTAAACTGTATGAAGATCACCTCCCCAGTTGGTCTCAGTGCGAGTCGTTCTCAAGTGCTCTGAGGGCAGTTTTGCATGTTTTGCATATTCACAAAGAACTGCCAAGTCATCTGTTGGAGTTCATTTTCAGAAATGAATGGCTCCAAGTGTGAGTAATAACCAGGAATAAAAAATATAGAACGAGTGGGGCAGTGGTGGCCTAGTAGTGAAGGAGGCGGAGTTCGGTCCGGAAGGCCCCAGGTTTGAATCCACCAACTGCCAGGTTGCCACTGAGATGCACTGAGCATGGCATCGTCCTCAAGCACTGCTCTCCGGGCGCTGACCACGGCTGCCCACTGTTCACTTTGGTGATGGGTTAAATGCAGAGGGCAAATTTCGTTGTGCATGGTGTGCTGTGCTGTGCTGTGTCACAATGACTAATAAAGATTTTTTTTAAGAAAGTTTTTAAGTTTAAGTTTATGAGTCTCACAACGAAAACAAAAAAAAAAGTTCACTCCCCTTCACGGACTGTGAAATGTATTTGAACCTGGAGAGAAACAAGGAGGTGGAGTGAAAGATTAAAACAGTCCAAACATCTCCGCTCCTCCTCACTGCAGTTACTCAATAGCTGATCAATAAAACTGTGGCTCGGCTTCAAGTCGCTACTCTTTTCCACTCTTCCAGAAACACCTTTTCATTTGGAGCTGCTTCTGAAAACCAGCAGTTAGGTCTGATGGACAATTGTGCAGCGCCGTGATGCGTTCGCTGTCCCGTAATAGCCTGTGAGGTTGTTAATCTGACGGAGGAGGCGGCTCGTGTAATGAGTTAGTGGAGCGGAGTGCGATGATTACACTTGATTTAACTTTTAAGATGCAGCATCAGGAGGCGTCAAGGTCAGAGGCTGAATCACAGAAAGACGAGTGTAGTTGATGAAGTACTGGCAGCCAGAAGCTAGTACTTTAGTACAGCTGGAGTTCCAGTAATGTTGTTGAGGGGTTTCAGCCGTGCTGTAATGCAAGTACTTTGAGAAAATGTAAGAAAAAATACCTGCCAAATGTGTGGAAACACGGGCTGTCAATCAAATCATATATTTGATGGTGATAATTGTCATGACTGACCAGGGCAGGAGTCTCAAACTCAGATGAGCTGAACTCAAATCAGTGTTCAAGTCTTAAAAAGTACTAAAAATACTGTAAAATAGTACACTGTTAACAGCTAGTACAAATTCACTTCCTTAATTGACCAACTAAAGCATCGACCACAAGGTCAAAATTAAATTATTATTCACATCTAGTCATGGACCAAATCTAGGGGAATGGTGGGCTGGAAGTGGCCCCTGGCCCAGGAGTTTCACAACCCTGATCTAGAGTCTAGACTCTAGAGTCACCACTTCAGACAACGACAACCTACCGTTTCTTCAGTTTGGTCGACTCAAACGACAACCCCACCCCCCCACCCCACCCTCCACAAAGCCTCATCACATGCACCTGTTCTCCTGAGTTTTTTTTCCCCTCCTCTGTGACAACCTGATGTAATTCACCTGTGACCTGCCACCTGTTTATATTCCTCTCTCACAGTTCCCTCTTTGCCAAGTCTGGGTTCTTTGAATCGGTGTACCTTGTCTGTGTACTTTGAGTTTCATTTCCATTAGAGAAAGACTTCATGCTTGTTTCATTTGTGTCCTCAGCTCTGGAGTTACATTAAGTCCTGGCACATTTGGACATTTGGATTTTAGACCAGTGGTTCACATTAATGTTTCTGATGTCTGTGGACTGGAAACATCCGTGGCCTAATTTTATTAATCTGGAAACAAAGCCCAAAGGTCTGAGGTAGCAACTTTCAGAATGTTCAACTTTTTGTAATTGGGAATTATTCGTACCCTTGGGTTTTGTTGTTGTTGTTGTTGTTGTTGTTGTTGTTGACCTACCGTTTCTTCAGTTTGGTCGACTTTAATATGTACAGTAAAAATAATCATTTTCTAAAACTAGAAACTCACATCAAAGTTTTTATCATAAAATTCATTTTTATTCCTTGTTTCATCACATTTTTCTGGCAATATTGCTAATGTCTACAATGGGGGTTTGGAAGCCCTGAGGGTTCCAGGAGGTACTGCAGGGCAAAATTGTGGTTTAATTGAAAATAATTATTTTTATATATATATTTGCCCATGTTTAAAGTAAAAACTATGCATTATGTTGAATTATTATATTATTATTATTATTAATATTGGCAATAAACTAGTTGTGTCAGTGCCAAAAACCAGATGATGCAGGAAGTAGATACCAGTAACAAACATTTTTTAACCTGCAGTTTTCCGTCCAATCCAAACCTCCTGTTTCCGATTCAATAGTTATGAGTCATGTTTGTACAGATCCATCCACTCTGGGTGTCCTCTTGTGTTATCCGCTCGGACTGTTTGATTGTGTGAGCCCAGAGCAAACTGAACAGTGACCTTCTCTTCACTTCTGGCAAATAGAAACGGAGAGAATTAATGGCTAACATTATGGACACGATCAATATTAATTCATAAAAACTGTTTAATTGTTTTGAGACTGCAGATTCAATTAAAGACACACTTTTGTTGATTATTTTTTTCCAGTCTGATTTAATTAATCTGAATGACTTGCAGCTTCATAAAAAAAACAGCTTTGCAGAAAAATGGTTGTCTTTCTTGTTGAGAAGTATGAACCTAGTGATCAGTATTTTATCACAGTTGAGCTATCTCTGCCAACGCAGTGTGAGCTGTAGGTTTATTTTTAACCCTGAGTGATTGAGCTAATTGGCTGCAGATTCTTCTGGACTCCGTGGCAGCAGCGCTGACATTTAGAAGCCAGCGTTGGCATGGATACTTTCACTTAACCTTGCACCAAATGAGTTGTCGATCAGGAAATCTAGGTGTAGGTGACGTGGGAAGCATGTTGCTGTGACAGAGTGAGAGAGAAAGGCAATGAGAGAGATATCACAGTGACTGTGTAGTACTCCGGAGAAAACTGCAGTGCATTTCATTATCAGTCATTGGGAAAGATTAAGAGCAGAGTTGATATAAATCAGCTGTGGCAGGATTGAAAAACAAGGTCGAAGGACAGAGCACTCATATAACTCATTTATTAATTAAAATTAGTGATGTCTGATATTAACTTTTTGCCAATTTCTGCCGATATTCCAATATTGTCCGAACACTTAATTTACGATTCCAATATCAGCCGATACTGATATAGGCCTCGTAATATTTATTCATCTGCACAAACCACCGTATGCGTATGAGATTAATTAAATGAGCTGCAATACTGCCATCTAGTGACCTTCGCTTTAATATACAGTCGTTTATCCCCAAAACTATTTTTAGGGCAGACATCATTTGGCCAAACCCAGGCATTGGCTTGTTGGATTTTCGGAGAAAAAAACGATAACGATTCTCTCAGATATTACATAAAATTCTAATACTGGGCCGATAATATTGGACATCCACCCTAATTAAAATGTCAGCTTTTTATTTTAAATTTTACAAAAGAAATGTTTATTTGCATGTCTTTATTATGTGGAAAAATCCCATTTGAAACACATTTTTTATCTTGTGCAACCCCTACTGGCTGGCGCATATACTTTGGTAATCCTAGAGTTGGTATACAAGCTCTTGCACTTCTCTCCGGACGTTAAAGAACTTTTTTTTAAATTATATTTTCCCGTTTATGAACATAAGTCCGACGTCAGCCTTTTTTTTACAAAATCCAAAATGAACGTAGACTTTTTATAGCGGCTCTTTTCTGTCTAGTCACTGAAAGCCTCTGGCTCATCGCTGGGACTGACTTCTCTTTCGCGGCCTCGTTACTGTTGTGGAAAATGAAATCACACAAACTTCACAGGCTCCGTCGATTCACATTATGCACATGCCACTAGACGAAGTGTGTGTGCAGTGATGAACTGGCTGGAGTGTGTGTCCGCCTTACGTGGACTGTCACGGGTTGTAATAAATCCAGAGGATGTGGGGCAGCTGAGACCAGGTGGTCATGAAGACGAGGCGTCGGATGTTTCCCCCGCCGTGGGTTATTGAGCTGTGAGTCAGACCCAAGTCACACTGCGATAAAAACCACTGACAGATGTAATGACATGGAAATAAAAACGTCGTTGTTGACGGCTTTAGTCCTGTCAGAACCAGAATCTGAAATACCGTATTGATCCTCCGGGGAGAAATTGTTGATAGTGTAGCAGTTATCACGGCTGCCTCTTGTGGCAGGAATAAGGACATTAAATTTATTTATTTTATATTGTATGCAATATAAATTCATGCATCAATTGTATTGTTGTAAATTCTGTAGAAAGTTGATGACGATATTGGGGATATTAAATAAGTATAAATACATATATACAGTGGTAAATTAAGTCTATATACAGTATATATTTACTTTTTTTTTCTTTTGCTGCAGTAAAGTAAATATACAGGTTTATATTTATTGACCACACTGTAAAACTAATTATATAATCCTGAAGAAATGTATATTAGGTTGTCTTTTTACCGGTTGTTCACTCTCCCCAGCCTACAGAAGCCCTGCTGTTATTTAATGCCAGGTCATTTTTATTGTCGTTCAACACTTTTGGTTCAACTCAGTTTTTTAATGTGCTCCCTGTTGTGGCTGAGGTCAGATCTCAGGTCAGGGGAAATAACAGAATCTTTGTTACCTTTTAGAGACCTCGCCTCTGTTTTCTTTTCTTTTTTTATCGGCAGACTTCATGAAGCTGCAGTCAGTGTCTCGAACAATGAGTGTGCCTCTGTCTCCAAGAACATTTCTATATCAGGCAGTTTGGACGTCAGTGTTGGCATGTTGCCGTCTGAAACTCACTGCACCCACGCTAATTATTTACCAAATCTGTCTCTTCTTCTCTGTTTGTTTTCTTCTTCTCCTCGGTCGCTCCTCCTCTCTTCCTCGTCAGCTTCCTCTGGATCTTTTCTACACTTATACATTCATTCAAGCAGAGCCGAGCTGATCTTAGACCTGCTGGAGTGAGTGTGAGGATGAAGGGGGGTGGGGGGGAGTGGGGGGGTTTCCTGTGAGATTCCCCATGCTTTGCTAATGGTGCATCCTCAGCTGTCAGTGGACCCCGCACTGCGTCAGCTGCTTTAATTGGCCTGCATGGCTGTAGTCT